TCCTAGTCAAAATTTGAACACCAGACCCCAGGCTTGGCCTAGTTTGACAATGGATGCATTCATGAGCTATCAAGGTTCTATCCAAGATTTCTTGGTCCTTCACAAAGGCTCCTTGTGTGGGGGGCACACCGAGGTTAAGAACCTGTGCAAGCTTGGAACTTGGAAGCTGAGACTTCAGGTGATATCGTATAGGAACTGTTTGGAAGGCTTATTGGCCTAAAGTCCTAGAGCTCTTCAGCCCTCTCGACTTTTGGAACTAGAGCAATGAAAGGGGGAATTCCACTCATGGTGTGCATAATACCCTATTTTGCGACTGGAAGGTCATCAAGGCTTGGCTCCTTATTGCGTTGTAGTTACACTTTACAGAACTCTAATCAGTCTGCCTTCACTTTGGGGATAGTTTGGAAGTTCAGGTTGTTCATTTTGAGACAAACTTGGGAATGTCAGGTGAAAAAGTTACTAATGCATTGCATGATCATGACGTCAACTTCAGGGGGCTTGTCTCCATAATCTGTATTATGGTGCTTGCTCTCCTTATATATTTGAAAGCGGGCCATATTCTCGGCACGTTTCCTGAGCCACTTTATTTTGGACCTCTAGTGCTATAGAATATTTCGTCTTGTTAGAGGGCCATGGTTTAAAACTCGGCCAAGTCGATTAAGTTTCGGCTGAGTTTACCCAAACTTGGGAACTTACCGAGCCAAGTCCTGGGTACAAAAATCATGAAAAATATTAAAGTAATATTTTTTACTAAAACAATGTATAAATATGTTTATATATAATTTTGATGTTTATGGTGATGATTTGTGAGTTTTTCTTATCATATGCTCTAATTTCTATTCCCCCATTTTCTGGATTTTTGCTGAACTATTTCCAGATATAAATGACGTTTTTCCAAAACCAATTTTTTATACTTTTTTCCATTTTCTTGGACTTTTAATGCTGTTTATAGTTTAGTTTGCTTTTAATGATTTTTTTAACAAACTTTTTTGGGTCGTTTGGATCCTCGGGTATCCAAATCATGTTTTGTATACTCAGGGTATTTTTCACAAAAACATGTTTGGCAACCTTTTTGGACACATAATCATGTTTCCTATAAGCAAGAAAGAGGGCCAAAACATGGGTACACAAAATCAAGAAAAAAGTTGGCTTACCAAAACATGACTTTGTGCGAGCATGAGAGAGAAAATATAATATAATACAATTGATGATAATACTATTTTCACATGCTGGAGCTGCCACTTTACTAAATACAATTAATTCCTCCAAAACATTCCCACAAATTAGAGAAAGGAACTACCTCAAATTTTAAGTTTTAGAAAGAGAAAGTATCTTAAAATTTTAGAGAGAAACTATGCCAAATTTTAGAGAGAATCTACTGAAAATTTAGAGTGAAACTATATCAAATTCCAAGTTTTGGAGAGAAAGTATCTTAAAATTTTAGAGAGAGAAACTATATCAAATTTTAGAGAGAAATTACCTGAAAATTTTTAGTGAGACTTTCTCAAAAGTTAGAGAGAAATTATATCAAATTTTAAGTTTTAGATAGAGAAAATATCTTAAAATTTTAGAAAGAGAAACTATATCAAGTTTTATAAAGAATAATTTTTTTTAGAGAAACTATCTCACAAATTTTAGACGGGGAAACTAATATCAAATTTAAAGTTTTAGAGAGAGATTATCTTAAAACTTTACAGAAAAATTATATCACATTTTAGAGAGAAAAATTACCTAAATTCTTTAGAGGGAAACTATCTCAAAATTTTTAGAGAGAGAGTATCTGAAATTTTAAGTTTTAGATAGAGAAAGTATCTTAAAAATTTTGAGAGAACCTATATCAAATTTTAAAGGGAGAAACTACCTGAAAGTTTTTATAGAGAAACAATCTCAAATTTCAATTTTTAGAGAGAAAAATTATCTTAAAATTTTAGAGAGAAAGTACATCAAAATTTAGAGAGAATCTGCCTCAAAATGTTCAGAGAGAGAAACTATCTAAAATTTTAAGTTTTAGATAGAGAAACTATCTCAAACTTTTTAGTGAAACTATCTCAAAATTTTTAGAGAGGCACTATCTCAAAATTTAATGTTTTAGAGAGGAAGTATCTTAAAATTTTAGAGAGGGAAACTGTATCAAAGTTTAGAGAGAGAAACTACCTAAAATTTTTAAGAGAAATTATCTCAAAATTTTTAGAGAGAAACTATCTCAAATTTCAAATTTTAGAGAGAGTATCTTACTAATTTGGATAAAAACTATCTAAAGTTTTTTAGACAAAATTTTTAGAGAGAATTACCCAATTTTTTTTTTGAAGAGAAATTACCCAATTTTTTTTTTTAAAGAGAGAAGCTGTCAAATTTCAAGTTTTAGAAAGAGGAACAATATCAAAATTGAGAGAGTAGCCACTTGAAATTTTTTAGAGAGAGAAACTATCTCAAAATTTTTAGAGAGAAAAATTATATCAAAGTAATTTTTGGTGAGAGAAACTATCTCCAAATTTTTAGAGAGAGAAACACTATCAAACTTTAAGTTTTAGATTGAGAAAGTATTTTAGAATTTTAGTATTTCCATTATATCAAATTTTAGAGAGAAATTACCTAAAATATTTTATAGAGAAATTACCTAAAATATTTTAAAGAGAGAAGCTCAAAACTTTTATAGAGAAACCATTTCAAATTTTAAGTTTTAGAGAGGGAAAGTATCTTAAAATTTTAGTGAGAGAAACCATATTAAATTTTAGTGAGAGAAACTACTTGAAATTTTTTAAAGACACTATCTCAAAATTTTTGGAGAGAGAAATCGTTAACTATCTAAAATGTTAAATTTTTAGAGGGAGAAATTTCTCAAAATTTTTAGAGAGAGAAACTATATCAAAATTTAATTTTTTTAGATAGAGAAACTATCTCAATGTGTTCACTCGTTGTGTGCCTATATCCAATTGTGTTTGCCAAACATGGGAAAGAACAAAGTTCACATGTTAAAAAAAAGGGAAAAATCATGTGTAAGTAATCTTTTCCTTTAAACTGTTTTCATATGTAAATATTTTCTCATGTAAATATTTTTCTGTCGAACTTTCATGCGTACCAAACTATGCCTAATAACAAATCAGATTGTACAAAAGATGATCCAAACATGAGATTTGCATAACGTGGGTACCATTCGAAGCCATCCAAACAAGTCCTGTTTGAGTAACCAGGTTTTAACATAACCAAGGTTCGAAATAATGAGGTTTTGATTCAAAACCTGGGTTTGTTTAAGTTATGGAGCCAAACGAGCGCTTTGTATTTTTTTGGTTGTTTTAGCGCTTTTGGGCTTGTACATGACTAGGGCGAGTCAACTTGGACTTGCCCAAGTCTCTCGGATTGGGCAGGGGTAGTGTCCTGAGCCTGAGCTGAGTTCTTGCACACTGTTCAGGATGGTTTGGTATTTAACCATTCCCTTTCTTTGGTCGAAAGATACTTTATGGCCTTCATCATTTCTAGATCACTGACCTCACAAAGGAGAGCCTTTCCCCAAAATTCTGGCCACTCCAGGCCTTTATTTTGAATTTCAGAAGTTGCAACTTTATCCAAAGTCTAAAGCCTGCCCAACCTTCAACTAGAGAAAGGTTGACAACCACTACGGAATCGGCATATGTTGCTCCTTTCCCTCTAGCCACATCATAAGACACAGGTTTGGATCCTGAGACTCAAAACTCTTGGTTTTGTTAGATGTAGCAGAAAAGGGAATTCTGTGATGATAGAATATTGCTCTTGTGATGTAGCACCAATGGACTTGGCACCTACATGAGTGTGACAGGCATGGCCAGAGGAAGAAAGAGTCTGGAGACAATTGATAATTCTATCGGTTAGGATTTAAGACTTCTAAAAGGTTTTTAGGTTCCTACCAAGATTAGGACATCAGGGTGGCCCGTATGAAGTTTTTTAATTGTGATAGAATTGGATGATATGAGGTCTAATTGATGTAAAATTAGGTTTGGGGTTTTGGGGAAGGGTTTGTTTGGATTGGGCCAATGCTTGGGATGGGTATTAGGGTTTTAAAAGGGTTAAAGCTACTGGAATTTAGCAGGTCCAGCAAGATACGAGAATGATGAGGTGGATTCTAGGGTTGAATTAAGGAAAATAAACCTTTAGTTTGAAGGCAGCAGAGGTTTGTTATATGGTTAGGGTAGCTCTTGAGCTAGTTTCCCTAGGGTTTGGAGATGTTTTGCTACAGTTTATGGAAGGAATGGTGACGAATTTGGTTGCAGGGGATTTGTAGGTGGGATGTGCCATGCAAGAAGGTAAAGAAGATGATTCTAACTTTTGTGGGGGTGATACTGCCACTCTTAAATGAGAATTGCAGAATCACTCTCTGCGAATAAGAGTTGAGTAATCTATCCACTACTAGTAGCCTCTCACCAAAATTTAAAACCCAAATTTATATTGAAAAAATTGATTTTATTTGGCCAATAGCCTGTACTTCTATTTACAGTGGTTCCAATGTCGTAATCTACCAATACTTGACCTCTAAGACAATCAACAAAACTTCCTAATCAAACTAGATGATAGCTCTAAGGGTAATCCGTACAGAAAAGAACTTTAGTTCCTGGAGATACTATATCTAAACCCATTACGACTAGGAAATGATTAAAAATTATAAATCCTAGTGCACTAGGGAAGCACATCTGTCATTAACTTCAAAGTTCTTCCATCAAACTTGAAACACACTAGAATCCGAAATAAGCAAAAAAACCATAGAGATAAAAGGTTATAGATCTCGAAGAGATCTTCGATTTAAGCTTTGAATCACCCCAAATGGACATCTTAGTGGAAAGCTATGCCTTTGGAGAGTGTTCGACTTCATAGTGAAGTTTTACTCTAAGGAGACTTGATTATCTTGATTTTTATTTTGTAGCACTACCCTTCTGTTTTTATAGAGCAAGCATAAATGATTGTTAGTGTTGATTGTATCTGCATTTTTCACCTCTTCTACTCACTTTGCTAAATGTGTCTTCCATTCCCAGGCTCACCAGATAATGAGAAAAAGGCTGATGCACTGAGAAGAACTCTACAAGTCAGCAATCTCAGTCCTCTTCTAACTGTTGAGCAGTTGAAACAGCTTTTCAGCTACTGTGGAACTGTTGTTGACTGTAGCATAACAGATTCAAAACATTTTGCATACATAGAATATTCAAAACCTGAAGAGGCAAAAGCTGCATTGGCTTTGAACAACATGGATGTCGGGGGCCGTCCACTTAATGTGGAGATGGCGAAATCCCTTCCTCAAAAAGCAACTCTGGCAACCTCTTCTTCTCATCAGTCTTCTCTACCACTGGTCATGCAACAAGCAGTGGCTATGCAACAAATGCAATTTCAGCAGGCGCTAATTATGCAACAAACATTGGCCTCACAGCAAGCTGCTAGCCGAGCAGCATCAATGAAATCTGCAACTGAAATGGCATCAGCTAGAGCTGCAGAAATAAGCAAAATGTTGAAACCTGATGGAAATGGGAACGAGGAAAAGGACTCTGACAAGAAATCAAGGTTCATGTTTTTTTAAACTGATAAAATTGAATTACATGTACTTTGTTCATAACAAATAAGGAGCAAAATCTGGTTTGATATGCACTCCCGTTTACTACAATGTGTGCCGTGTTTGATTTTGGTTGACTTGGAATTATGTTTTTCTAATTGTGAGCTCAAGCAAAATGCTTGAGATCCCCATTGAAAGGCCCCTCTTTACAGTCTCTTCTTATGATTGAATGCACAACCGTATTGCTGTGAAGCCACAATGTAGTGCCCATTCAAATAGGCCCTAGATTTTATCTCTTATCTTCAGAAGGAATGCAAGTACCCAAATTATCATGAGAAATTGATTTGTTAGCAACCAGATTTCTTATGGTTTACCCAGTAATGCCTCTTCATCACATTCCTTGTATTATATGTATTTCTGTGACATTATTTTATGTTAAGACATTGTTGCTCTCTAGGATTTTCCCTTTTTATACTTCTATTTCCCTTTTTATACTTCTATTTAATTGTTTATTTTCTTGTTTTGGTTTTAGTTTAGACATTTGATCCATATATTTTATCCAGGTCTCCTCCAGCATCTCGTCTAAGATCGAAGTCACGGTCGAAATCACCCATAAGAGTTCGGCATGGTCGGCATTCACATTCTAGATCGCCACCACCAGTTCGACACAATAGAGATCGGAGGTCCCGATCACCAGTCAGATCTCGCCATCATCACAGTGATCACATAAGTGAGCGCCGCCACAGAGAGAGTATCAATACCTATCGAAGATCGGAAAGACGTGAAAGGGACCGATCACGTGAAAGGGGTCGGTCACATGAAAGGGAAAGACCACGTGATAACTACTCTAGTTCACGGAGGCATAGGAGCAGGAGTGCAACACCGAAAACAAGAAGATCATCCAGGGTTGATTCAGTTTCGCCTTTGCATCATAGAGAAAGGAGATCGTCGCCACATGACCACGATACGTCCTCCCACCGTAGTAGGCGCTCTGAGAAAAAACGCGGGTATTAATTTGTCATAAGAATTCCATTGGTCATCCATTTCTCTTTGAACTTAGGAATCCACACTGCTCAGAGTTGAATTATCTTTTATGAATGATTTTTCAGACCCATAGTCTATAATCTAATTATGGTGTTCATGGATAGATCTGGTGAATTTTAAACACTGAGTTGTACTTCTCTCTCTCTCTCTCTCTATTTTTTTTTTTGTCCTCAGTTCCCCCTTGCAGGTTAATGGATGGGATACCATTCTGGTTTGTGACCTGAGGTCTCTGGCCTTTAATTCAAAGAAGGATTGGAGTTTTTTTTGTTTTCCTTTTTTTCTTTTTTCCTTTCCTTTTTTCTATTTTTGTTTTCTATTCTTTGGGTTTGCAGGTTGCAGTAGATGGATTTACCAAGATGGATTAACATACTCAGTATGCATGCATGTTAACTTTTCATCATTCTATGTATCGTCCTCACCTCATTTCATGTGCTGAATCTGTCACATGGGAAATCTTTCCACTGCCTTTCACTTTTTGTCTTTTTTGACAATTTTCAGGAATTAGTTGCAGTCGATGATTAGCCTGACTCGTTACCTCCTATCATTCCTTTGTGGATCTTTCTTTTTCTGCTTTACTTTTGGTTTTTTTACCTTCTATTAATTTTTTTTTGTTTATCCTTTTTTGTATTTTTTTTTCCCTAATTTGAAGGATGCTTTTCACCACCCAGATCTGAGTTTGAGGGCTAGAAACTGATCCACATGAAGAATATCTGCAACCATAGCAAATGGAGAGTTTTGGGATTCGGCTATCCATTTCTTCAAGATAGGTATGCTGGAAATAATTGTGGAATGGGCTTATTATTGAAGCCAACATCTTACTTTTCCAACTCGAGATATCTGCTACCTATAATTCTTTGGGTACACCTTCTGGCATTCTGGAAACTGTGCTCTCTTTTCTTGCAGAAGTTTCATGCATTGAGTCCTAATATTCGATAGCATAATGCGATGGTCTTTTATCAGGTTATCGAATATAGCATGCCAAACTCACATACATATTATTCCTGAATGGCCACTCTTTTTTCAATGTAGATATACATATTTAGTGAATCAAGGAATTTGTTGAGGTGAGTATCATTTAGGGGCACTTGTCTCTTTGAAGAACTGTGATTTGATCGTTCATGAAGCATAGCGACTTGGCCTTCGATCTCATTGTTTAGAACTAGAAAAACACATCCCTCCCAAACCATGTGGCATTGAGATCGAGAGGGTGAGAATGCAATCTTGAGAATGGAATGGATTCCCATGTTCTAGGAAATGTCGACACTCAAAATTTTTGTTGTCTTGCAATGGGATTGAAGTTGGAAGTCTACCTTAGTTGCAAAATTTTCCCTAATACCAAATTCCAGTGAGGTGACTGCTAGGATTTGCATAATACATTTGCCCATGTAGTAAGTTGGAGAATCTGATGGTGGTTGGTTTGGAGATAGAAACAATGGAGCCAAGTTTGGGGTCTAGGGGGTGGGGTCATTTTTTCCGTTTTATGTTAAGTATGATCCAGTTGTGGCACTAAAGTGGAAGTAGCAAGGCGAGTTGAGTGTTTGTGGAACTGACATGCCATGATACAAGTACCTGCCAATCTCTAGGTTTAACCTTAGTTACACAAAACGCCTCAGGGATGTCAGTTTTTTGGATTAGTTTAGTGTCAAAAACATGTTGGGAACTTCTAGAGGAGCTGGAGTAGGTCATGAGGAAGAAAATTTTCAAGCAGAAATCATCTAGGGATCAACATGGGAGGCTTGACTTCGGAGCGGGGATGCTATCTACAGGCTTTTTGTTACCTATAGATTTGTACTTCAATTCCCATTATGTTTTCTACTGTATCCAAGGAAGGCGTGTTGTACATCTTCCAGTTGGAATTTGTCCTTCCAAGTCACATTCACGTTGACATAGACAAGACTGAATGTGAGACGTATTTAGAGGTTGTTTGCTGCACAAGGACTGCCTGGTAATGTAAAGTAGTGGAGGGCATATTTCTAATAATATGTACAGCAATATGAAATAGCAAAAAAGGCTTGATCTGGAAGGAACTTGGAACTTGGACTGCAAACATCATTGAATGCTCGTCTTGATGTTTTAGTGTTGCTTCCATTTTACCACATCAAGTTGCTGTGGAAGGCAAAAGCAAGAGAATTTGATATGCATCTAGCAGCAAGACATGATGTTTATTCCTACATCCAAATGACCCTATTTAGTAGGAAAAGAATATTGCTTGAAAAATGTTTTTTTATAATGGAATAATGTCATTGTGCAGTAATGAGGGACAGATATATCTTTGCTAAAACATAGAACCGCTACATTTACATACCTGATTAGTACTATAAAAGATACACCGGTCTAACATTAAGTATTTGATATGTTCTCTTGTTTGTTTAGAGTATATTGAAGACAGGTGTGTATACTGGCTTGGATTCCTAGACACTGGCTCATCTATGTGAAAAGCTATTAGAAAAATACACGAGTCCATTATTAAGTTTTCGATATGTCTTTCTTGTTTGTTTAGGTTTTGTTGAAGACAGGCATGCATGCTTGCTTTGATTCGTAGTTACTGGCTCAGCTACATGACTAGGTCATTCATTGGCTCCTTGTATGCCTCTCTGAATTCTTTGAAGCTGAACTATGGATTTTAGGCCTTACTGGTTTTCCATCCATAGATTAATGCTCTGTGATAGCCTTGGCAGGCCTCGATAGTCCCACAATTAGTATTTGCAAATCCAGAATTATCGTTAGACGATTGGAGTACCCTCCCCTTGCATGGTGTTGGTCTTTATCATATTTCTAGTTCTTTAGCTTCTCTTATGAGTGTCTTCTGATTTCTAATGAAATGGATGCACTTGACTGTCTGCATTGATTTATTTTTACTTGTCTAGTTATGGGGCACACATTCTATATATAGATATTTGTGAAGGAAGATCATGAACATTTTTTGTCCCTTCTTTTGTCCCTTTTTTTCTGTTCCTTGTTTGCAGGTCATAGATGGGATAACAATTTTGGCATGTTACTTGCGGTCCTATATTAGGAAATTGGAAGATTTACAAACCCCATGTTTTTTTTTTTTTGGTTTGTTTTTATGTTTTTGTCCCCCTTTGTTGTCAATTATCTGTTTGCAGGTTGCTATAGATGAACTATTAAGTGTGCCCCTACGTGCTGTCCTAGTTATAGTTGGTTGTACCATCTTTCTTCACCCCGTCTCTTTCTCATTTTGAATTTAGTCTTAGGTGTACCTTGCCATCCTTGACTTGTCTTCTGTGATGTTTTTCAGGGGTTAGTGCACACTTAGCAACCTCCTCTTATTTTTGGGTTTTTCATCTTATTTTATTTTTCTCAGTTTTTTTTTTGAAGTTTTGGAGGATCTTTCCTCCCCATCAGATGTGAGTCAAGAGCAAGAAGGTGGCCTATGTCAAGACAGTCAAAGGATCATTCGAGGCGAACTTCTGGGTCATTCTGTTCCTTTTCTTCTAGATTGGTGATCGCTGTTCCTTTCTTTTCAAGCAGGAGATAACTGCTTGTTGATTCTTTCTTTTTTCTTTTTGGTTGTTTTATTTTATTTTATTTTAGGTGGGTGAGCTGGGATTTGAAAGTTCGGCTGCAGTGGACCATGTCCTAATGGCTAAGCTAAGAGTGCAAAAGTGGTTCAATACTTGGTTAAGCCTTTCTGCCCTATTGGATAATCATCTTTGTCATTGTCATGCTGAAGATCAAAAGTCGATAGGCCGAGTTATCGATCTCTAGACATAGAGCATCCGATATGTGGCATGCCTCTATCTGATTTTTTTTTCTTTTTTTCTTTTTTCTTTTTTGTGAAAAATCACAAAGGGATGGTCATGGTATTTTGAGTCTTGGACTCTTTCACCAAGGTTTACATTACCTACCCCTTTATTCTCCTGCATGGCAAAAATTTGCGCCTCTAATAGTGGAAAGCCCTTCACCTAGGTCCGTTAGCCTGGTCATAGATGGTAAAAAATTCCTATAAACTTTGTATATTAGTGACAATCGTCATTATTGGGATATTACTGATGGGAGTTCTATTGCGATGTTATTATGTATGCCTTTTCTATCAGGAATTTATTGGATAATTCCCTGGACTGGAATATACGAAAGTAAAAAGCTTTTATAAAAGGTTGGAACCTTCAACAATAGGAAAAAGGCATGTCTAAAAAATCCTTTGAAAAAGGTTGTTCTGATATTGGAAAACTCTTTATTAATCAGGTTGAGATGTATGGATATGGAAAGATTTTCTAGTCTTAAAGATACATTTGGTAATCATTATTTAGACCGTCCTTTCTCAAGGTTTTGTGTTTGTAGATTTGCTTGATCGGGGTATCACATTTTGAGTTTTAAATTTCATAATTAAGGATGAAGTAGATTTTTAACCTTTTATTAAAATTTGTGACATCAAAATTAAATCTTTCGACTGGCTTTAAGGGTGCATTTTATAGGATCATTGCTCTTTTTATAATGGTTAATAAATATGAGTTCAAATTATAAAATAATTGAAAACATGAATATTTCGAAGATTTTCCTTCTGTGAATAATAGTCAATAATAATGTTTAGGACACGGGTTCGCTCGTATAAAACCCCCACCATCTAGTTGGCTGGTGAGGCGTCAACTGTGACGTGTAATCTAAAACCTCCAACTAGGTTGGACGGTGGAGGTTTTATGCAGGCCCGATGGCATTCAACAATTTACTTTATTTTGAATGTATTTCAAAATTCAAAATGTTAAAAACCACTACCAATATGATAGCCTCTAAGGGTATGGTTTGTATAAGGTGTCTAACCTTAAACAATCAATAAGGCTTGTTAAAACAATACAATTTTGGTGCTGAAACTCCTTATGTTAATTTAAAAATCTATTTTTAAGTCTAGATATAAAACTTAAAGCTTAAAAAATGATGTAGATTGAGTAGATCTAGAAACACTTAAAATTATAAAAAATGGATGGTTTAGATGTTGAGGTACAATATATGCTACATTAAGGAATTTTTTTTTTTCCATATCTATTAATCTCTATTCATCTCAAGTGGAAGGCTTTAAAAAAAGAGGGGAATGCTTAAAGGAACATAGATAGAAGTGGCATGAAAATGTATGGTGATTTTTAGTTTTACTGTGGGTATAGTACTTGATAGAAAGAAGAATGGTGGAATATGATTCACGTAGCAGATCCCAAATCATTGGAATAAAGTTTGTATGATAGAGTTTTGAAAATTCGAAAACAGATAGCAAAGATGATCTAATATATACGGGTGTGGTTTGTTTAGAGCTTATGCTCTAAACAATCACATTAGAGCTTACTTTCAGCTTATGCTCTAAACAATCACATTAGAGCTTACTTTCAAATAGTGTCGAGAAATGAGGTTTTAATATTAGAAATCTTTGTGATAAATCGATAGATCTATGAAAATTTGAAAATCTTGTAAATTGACGGTCCAAAAATATGTTATAAAACACATTATTCTTAAAGCTTGAAATTCATTTTTCTCTCATGTCCATGTCCATGCACCTTGATGTCAAGATGATCAATTTGAGGTAAAAGGACATCAAAACTTCTTCTTCTAGTGAAATTTTTGAGGTAGGCTCTAATTTAAATGTTAGAGCCTTGGCTCTATGTAAATTTTTTCATAATATATTCCGTGACATGCTATTTATATAGCTTGAAATCCATTTTTCTTGGATTCATAATTTGTTAGACTAAAGTTCATGCGTTATTAAGTGCTAGAACAAGAATGACATTCTAGGGCTGATAAGGTAAGACGCAAAATAGATGGGAGTATTGGCATACAAGGCGTTTTAAGGCTGCAGAGAAGTATGTATTTTGTATATGATGCTTTCTCAAGGAGTGCCACTACTTAGGGTGTGTTTGATATGCGTAAGTAGCAGTGGCAATGGGTCGGATACGGGTCAGGTCCGGCTGGATTGGAACCTGGACCCGAATAACAAGAGGTAGACCGGAAACCTGGACCCAAATAACAAGAGGTAGACCCCAACCCGACGGATCCAAAATTCCCATACCCGTACTCGTGCCCGAAATGAGGCTGTTGGACCCAGGACCTGACCCATACTCGTGCTCGAAATGAGGCTGTTGGACACGGGACCGACCTGTACTCGTGCTCGAAATGCGGCCGCTGGAGCTGGGACCCGACCCGTACTCGGAATGGCTTATAAATTACCAGATTACCCTATTGTACAAGAACCAGAAAGTAGAGCTGTTGAGGGCATTTCCGAAATTTGATAAACTCAACTGATTATTAGCTGGAAGGTTAAAAAAATTACCATAAATGGGAAAAAAAATCAGAGAAACAGCTTAACCTGAAAGAGGGCTTTTGGTGACACAGAATATGTGAAATTTCCTGAAATGGGTAACGCCATCATGCGCAAGTGGCTAGGGCTTTTGAATAAAATGCACTACTTGAGATGAAAAAAAATTGAAAATCCCCCAATCTGAGGCTGTCTATAGTTCCTCCTCTGCTGTATTCCTTTTTTACGAAGAGAACTTCTCTACAATCTTGTTTTCTCTCTCTACACCAACCTCTTTTGCCCAGAGAACTCCTCCACAATCTTCATTTCTCTCTCTACGGAAAATTGAGAAAGAGAGAGAGAGAGCCATCTCTGTATTGAACAAGGGATGGAGAGAGAGGGAGTGGGGGGATAGCCGCTGTTCAAGGGAAAGAGAGCTGTGATGAGAGAGAGAGGGAGCTACAGTTTAAGAGACACACATAGATGTGATGAGAGAGAGGGAGTTACAGTTCTGGGGAGATAGAGATGTGATGAGAGAGAGAGCTACAATGGTGAAAACTGAGAACTGAGGTTTTGAAGGGTGGGCAATTAGAGAGAGAGAGTGCCATGCTATGTCTCTAAGAGACTCAGAGAGGGAGAGTTGCAGCGATGGGGTATGGCTGTTTGGGGAATCAAAAGAAGACGAAAAGTAATGAAACCATTTTTAAGGTTATTTAGGGTCAGGGCTTTGAGTAAACTAAAATTTGGGTTTAGGTACCGGCTAGGTTGGGTATAGGTACCCGGACCTGGGATCATCTGGATATCGTTTATTGGACTTGGCCCCTACCCGCATGTTCAAACATTAGATCCATACCTAGATCCATGCCGGATACACCCGACGGATATGGGTCGGATTTGAATCCATACCTAGATCCATGTCGGATACACCCGACGGATATGGGTCGGATTTGAATCCATTGCCACCCCTACGTAGAAAAGCAACGCTCCTCTTCTACTCGAGTATGAACGACGTTGCTTCCATAGGTTACCATGGAACTGATAGCTTCCAAGAAACAATGTTAGTTACTGTTATTTTTTAGGGCCACTGGAAGCAGTGGCTTCAAAATTTTACTGCAGTCTTGCATGATAAACTATGGAACCGAAAAGCCGTGGCTTCCACAAAACAAACATGCCCTTAAGAAATTCTTAAGGAGTGAGAGGGGATTTTAGATTTCTTTTTTCCAATTTTTGTTGGGAGATTCTGACGTGAATGCATATAGGAATCTATATTGATTAAATAGTTGGTTACTCCCTTGCGGTTATGAAATTGTGTACGATCAATTTTTTTTGACAAGAACATAAATTTTTATTGATAATAAAAAGAATATAGAAAACTACAGCGGCAAAGAATCACAAACTACAATATGGGAGCCATTCACCCCACGTTTAGCTAAAGAATTAACTACTTGATTGCCCTCCTATAAACATGATAAAAATCAACCCGCAACCAAGATAATAAATCCAAAATCTCCATCCAAAGAGACATGCATGATTTAGGAGCCTCCAATTTCTCTTACACCAATTGATCACATTGAGAAAATCCTCTTCCACTACACACTTTACACCTGAAAATCTATCGTTAACCACCTTTAATCTATGAAGCAAGGCAGTCGATTCAGCCGTATTTGCAGTAGAGATGCCACAGGGACCGAAATAGCAACAAATAATAGCACTCTCTGAGTTTCGAATAACTCCTCCGATGTCAGTAGGCCCTAGAGTACCCAATGAACTTCCATCAAAATTAAGTTTGATGCACCCCAACTGGTGGAATCCATTTTCCCATATGTGTAATAGATCTCAAATGCTGACACATCACAGTTGCCAAGTTCAACACAACATCCATCTTTGACACACCGCCTTCCTCCTTGGTCACTGAGAACCACGACTAAGTAGTATGTAAAATCTTGTTTTTTATTTGTTGTACACCTGATTTTCTACCTTCAAATGTCCTTTTATTATGCTCCAACCAAACCTCCCATAGCAATACAACTCTCATAATATCCCAAAAGATTTTCCCTTTCTTTGGCAAGCTAGAGACACCTAAATACTCCACAATGTTCACCTAGTGCTTAGGTAAAACCATTGAGACTCTACACATCTGGAATGCCCACCACCAAAGGGAACTTGTAAATTCACAATAAATGAACAAATGATCCTCCTTCTCTTCATCCCTTTTGCACAACAAACCAATATTAACTAAAATCTTACCTTGTTTCTTGAGATTATCCACAGTTAGAGGTCTGCCTTGCATCATGATCCAAAGGAAAACTTTAACCTTATCGGAAATATGCCATTTCCAAATCTTACTAAAAGTCTTATTATTCCATCGAATTCGATCATAAAATAATAATCTATAGGCATATTTAACTGAGAATTGCCCATCACTTTCTTCTTCCTGAGCTACCCCATCCTCGCCCTCCCTAGAGATATATATCTGATCAAGCTCCTCAAGTAGTTCCATCAACTGCACAATAACAGAGTCAGGCATTATGTTATAAATACATTGTAAATTCCAAACTATCCTCAACTCTTGTCTAACATAGACCTCATTCACCTTTGCGAGAGGATTCGAAATTTCGGAGAAAAGTTGAGGAAATCTGATTCTGAATGGCCTATCAGCTAGTCATTTATTTGACCTGAAAGACTTTGAAACTTTGGAGAAAAGTTGAAGCAATCTGATTTTCAATGACCTATGACCTAGCCATTTATTTGACCAAAAATTGACCCTCTCACCATTGCACACCACCCAACAATTATAATTCACCACAATACCTGGACCGCTAAGAATACCCTGCCATATATGTGAAAAATTACGTCCATCCCTTCTACCACTTATGAGCTA